AACAAGATGAATAACTGATTTCTGTAAAGGGTTTAAATAGTATAAGAATCAATTTCTTATTAAAAGGGTTTAATTTCTCTTAAAACTCTCATAAAATTATAACATTAACATCATTATTTTTGACATTTTTCTTACTTTATGTCAACTTTTTATATTTCTATGAAAAGTTTGTTAGAGGAGAAATTACATAATTACCATTAAATTTTGATAAAATAAATAAATAAAAAGTTTATTGTGCCTTTAACATATATTAATAGATCCATCTTGAATTAAGTGTGTATATAAAAGATTTGGTTTTTATCATATGCATATCCAATTAACCTAGCACCACTTACTAAAAAAGACCCATGTTTCCCCACTGAACTGCTGTGCACCTTTATCATTAATCAGAATACCACATATTTGTGACTCTATTTTTCAACTCCCTGTTCTGTTCTTTTGGATAGGATATATATCTTTGTTCTAATACCATACTGTTTTCAGTAGTATACCACATATTTCCAACTGAGTAGTATATTCATTTATTTCCTACATTTCTGCTGAGGGGGTCAGGATGGTGCTGGGCCCGCTAGATAATGAGTAATACCTGGTACACTGAATGTTCTTCACAAATAAGCAGTGACATTAAAAATGAAACTACCAGATGGTATCACTGTAGGTAACAGTCCGCTTTTTCAAAATTCTAGTAATAAATAATGGTTTCTTATCAGTCCTATCCGAAAAAATTTCTTGAGTTTGTAGTTACTATACAAACTTTATCTACTTTTTTAACAGTAGATAATTATCTACTCTCTGACACTGCAGGTCCCCAAAGTCATCACATCCTGACCCCTTCAACAGAAATGTGGAACTAAATGAATGTACTACTTGGTTGGAAATGTGTGGTTTCTATAAGACTCTTTGCCTTATCCCAAACCTTAGACACATTTCTATTTTATTTGGACAAAGAAATCACAAAATTATAGATAGAAGTGAAAAGAGCTGTTATCGATGTTAGATCAATGTGGACAAGTTTCAAAAGATTATAAAGTGCTGAGAATAAGGATCTCCTATTTTAAAAATCAATATGACTCAAAGCTATCAGAAAATTAAAAATTATCTTTGCATTTTTTCAGCATTTAATTGTTATTTCTGTTTTCTGCAAGTGAAAGCCTCTTTAGAGAAGGGATACCATACAAGATGAAAAGAAATAACACACAAGTCATAAGACATAAGTCAGGGGCTTAGATCTGATGTCAGTTGGCTTAGTTTTTCTCCTCCCTGAGCATGATTGTTCAATGATGAAATGTGAGTGGTATCTGTAAGGGCTTTGGTGATTAGAGTCTTGATGTCAGCCATAAGATGGTATCTAAGATCAGAGGGCGGCTGGTCTTCTGGATTTCATTCTATTTACAATATATGTACCTCCCTGTCCATTCTTGACATGTTAATCAGCACAGTTCTTTTCTGAGGGCTTATTCAGCTGAAGTTCTGCACTGGAAAATACTTGACTGCATTAAGTGACATTCACATCAGAATGGTGACAAGCAGTCAACCCTGCAAAATACGTAGAGTTAGGTGTTACATTCGATCAATTCCACTTGTGAGCATATACAGTTTTTGTGTATTCCCAGGAAAAACAATACTACTGGACTCACATTTTCATGATGATTTCTGAGAGCAATTCTTAAGTTTGCTACCTCTTTTAATCAATGATAATTCACATCTAGATGATATTCCCAGGTTACCCGGAATTACATTTTCATGGTGTTAATTTACTTTCTGCTTAAACTCAGGTGAAATTTATTTGCCTAGGATAAGGGAGGTTTTATTTTGGTAGTAGAGGTGGGTTGAGAGGGATGTAGAATCTGAGAGACATGGTAATATGATCAAAATTGCTGAAAAAGAAAATGAAAGTGATAACAGATTTGAATATAAAAAATTAACTTTTAAAATAATTTTTAAAATATACAGAGGAAAAAGTACTCGCTTCAGAAAAGCATCTGGCTTACCTGCTCTTAGTCCTCATCAAAACTGTGTAAACCAACATAAATATCCTTTTGGACACCATTTTTAATGTTAAATTACAGTACAAATTTCCCACTCTAAGCATCAATTAACATTTTAGCAATTCTAGCCCAGTTGACAAGATATACTGCTTTAAAGAAAATTTCCAATTATAGCTAATCTTGCTGATACTCTGAAACACTAGTTAAAGACCACAAACACCACTTCTGGCTAAGAAACATTAGAAGAATCAGCACAGATTCAAGCAAGTGGGTAAAAAAAGCTGTTATTAATTTTAAGCAGAATTAAAACAGATGGGAGAGCCTGACACACAGGCATGCAAACATGTGCCTGTCACACATTCAGTCGTTCATGAATGAATTTAGCAGCATGATTCTAGATTCAGCATGTATGTATTTTCCTTTTACTCCAATGTACTGCATCCATTTTAACTCTTCTTCTTAGGGCAATGCAAATATCAAAAGGAAAGAAACCATTGTGAAAGCAGGTTCTCTGACATTTGAAAATGAAGTGCTCATTCACTTATCAAATCAAGTCCACACAGCACCCACACTCTCCACCACTCAATTTACCTCAGGTTTGAAGCTCCTGTTCCACATTAACACATGGTGGGGTTAGGATACAGGAGACAACAAGCTGCAAATACTATACTGATGTGTGGCCATGAATCTCTCACTAACCACGGAACCTAGCATAACTCCCACAGAGTGCCACTGTACCTCTCTTGGGACATTATGGTTTGTCTTGGAGAATGATGAGGACAATAGCAACACAGAAGTCTACCAGAGCAGCGACTGTCCCTGATTGCAGTTACTTATCTGCCTGCCAATCCCCATCCCTGTAGTACACGCCCTGACATGGTACTTCTCCATCTTAGGCACATCACACAGTACAGCATCCAGCAGACAGAGGGAACCATCCGATGCATTAAATGAATGCATAATAATGGTTGCTGCTTGTACCTGTCATACACCAGCACTGTGCTAGATATTCTATCTACACTTTTCCCCCAGCTTTATTGTATTATTGACAAATAGAAACTGCATGTCTTGAAGGTGCAGAGCGTGGCATTTTGATATACGTACACACTGTGAAATGATTATCACAATCTAGCATCCCTCACCTCAGTTATGTGTGTGTGTGGTGGGAACACTCCAGATCCATTCTCTCAGCAAATTTCAAGTACACGGTTCATTATCACTAACTACAGTGATGCCATATGAAAGATCTTTAGGACTTACCTATTTTATAAGACTGAAACTTTGTGCCCTTTGACCAACATCTTCCATTTCTCCAACCCCCTTCCCTGGCAACTACCATTCTACTCTCGGGTTTTATGAGTTCTGCTTTTTCAGATTTCATAGGCGAATGGGGTCATGCAGTCGGATCTTTCTATGTCTGTCCTATTTCACTTGGCACAATGACCTCCAGTTCCATGCATGCTGCTGTGGATGGCAGGATCTCCTCCTTTTTAAAAGCTACAATAAAATCAAAAAATTAGCTGGGCGTGGTAGCGGGTGCCTGTAATTCCGGCTACTCAGAAGGCTGAGGCGGAAGGATCGCTGGAGCCCAGCAGGTCGAGGCTGCGGTGGCCGGGAGCAGCCACTGCACTCTAGTCTGGGCAACGGAGTGAGACTCCAACTCAAAAAAATAAAAAAAATAAAATAAAAGCTGAATAACACTCCCGTGTGTGTGTGTGTGTGTGTGTGTGTGTGTGTGTGCGCGCGCGCGCGCGCACATGCACATGTGCATGCGGCCATTCAGGTTGTTCCTATGTCCTAGCTGCCATGACCAATGCTGTGCTGAACATCAAGGTGTAGATATCTCCTTGAGATGCTAATTTCAGTTCCTTTGGAAACAGACTCCAAAGTAGGATTGCTGGGCCCTACAGCAGCTCTATTTTTAAGTTATTGAAGATTTCCTTATATTCTTCTACTTAATGCTCTGAACAACTGAGCCCAACTGCCAATCAGGCAAGGTAAGAAGGTTCATGAATTGACATGAAGTGCATACACACCTTGTAGCAGGTAATAGTGGGGCTGGCATCCCAGTCCAGGGCCATGTAGTGGACATGCTTGAACCTTCAACCACACCATGTGGCTGAGCTCCCACAGGCCCAGGCTTGAGTGGCCAGGTGGGGAGGTCTTGGGAGGTCTGTGGCCCTTCAGGAAGTGGATAAAGTTGACACATGCTGGGCATTGCTATGGGTAAGCAGCCACAGGCATAGTGTTGCTACTGGACATTTGTGACCAAAAGCAGTAACAGACAATACCAGAGAAGCAAGAACAGGAGAGAAGGAAGAAAGCAGGTATCCTATGCTTACCAAGGACTCATGGGAGACATGTAAGAGCTCTTCAGAAGGACCAGGACAGAGTCAGAGCTTCTGCTGAGCAGGAAGGCACAGACCAGACTCATAATCAGGGGATAATTATGGCAATCCTGTTACTGCCCTATGAAGAACTGGGTCGCGTGGGTGATATTTTGAGCCAGTATTTATGTGGTACACATTTTGCCTCCCAAATAGAGTATAATCTCCTTGAAAGTCATGTCCATGCCTAATATATGTCTGTGTTGGCCATGGTTCCCAGCATATTACCCTATAGACTACTCTATAGAAGATGGCCACACTAAAGTAGAGGTAGCTGAAGTAAGAGCAGTCATACCTTGGAAGCTGTCCTAATGGTCTAGCAGCTGAAACAGCACCAGTAGGAAGGGTTTCTCAGTGGGCAGGTTGCCAAAGGTAACCCAATTCATAAAGCACTGAGTCTTGAATGAGAGAAGACACATGTGGTCACCAGAGCCTGAGCTCACCAACTTCTATTCAGTTCTTTTCACTTTAATTCTATACTCAAGAAGACACTTTGGATTGTTATTCAGTGTGTAAAACTGGACCCCCTTCTTGGAAGGGAACACAAATGTGGTTGATGACATGAGTCCCTTGGTCCTATTGGCAGCTGAACTTTCTACTGTCAGTTCACAGAGGGCATCCTCACCCATCAGTCCTGCAGGACTGGTAAGAACTAATGATATTTGTGAAACTGTCAAAGCTGACATGTCGTCCCTGGTGACGAATGACATTTACAAACCTGTCAAAGCTGACATGTAGACACTGATAACGAATGATGTTTGCAAAACTATCAAAGCCAACATGTAGACCCTGATGACAAGTGATGTTTACAAACCTGTCAAAACGGACACATAGACCCTGACGACTAATGATGTTTATGAATCTGTCAAAGCTGACATGTAGACCCTGATGACTAATGACATTTGTAAACCTAGTAAAGCTGACACGTAGACCTTGATGACTAATGATGTTAACTTGTCAAGGTTGACGTGTAGACCCTGATGACGAAAATGATGTTTATGAACCTTTCAAAGTTGACACGTAGACCCTAGTGACTAATGACATTCGTGAACCTATCAAAGCTGACATGTAGACCCTGATGACTCATGATGTTTGTGAGCTTGTCAAGATTGACATGTAGACCCTGATGACTAAAATGACATTTATGAACCTCTCAAAGCTGACACGCAGACCCTAATGACTAATGACGTTTATGAACCTGTTAAAGCTGACACATAGACCCTGATGACTAATGACATTTGTGAACCTTGAGTTGACATGTAGACCCTGATGACTAGTGATGTTTATGAATCTGTCAAAGCTGAGGCATAGACCCTGATGACTAATGACATTTGTGAGCCTGCTGAAGCTGATATGCTGATCCTGATGATTAATGACGATTATGAGCCTGTCAAAGTTGATGTGTAGAACTTGTTGACTAATGACGTCTGTGAACCCGTCAAAGTTGATATGTAGATCCTGACCGCCAACCCTAACAGCTAGTACTTTGTAGAGACTTTAGAAGACCAGTACACAGGACATTTTAACAAATAGATACCTAAATTATAACATTCCCTTCATTTCAAATATGTATCTTAAGAGAGAACACCACCAAAAGCATAATGCTTATCTGAAAAGTTTGCTGTGTGTATTCCCTTACAGCAATTTGTCCCATATTAATGTGAGGAATGTGAGTTCAAAAGAAGCTTGCTATACACTAAAAAAAGTCTGAAATGTAAACAATGTTTTTTTGTGTATGATATAAATTATGTGTTTGGAAACTATACATTTTTCCTAGAAAAAAACACTCTGAAGTTGTGACTGCAAAATATGCTAAACTGCCTTCCCAGTGACCAAGAAAGTCTTATTGTTTAATATTAGCCAAACTACTTTTCCAAGTATGGACTAGATCATAGGACTTAAATGTAGTGATGCTACCACACAGGTTGTGAGGATCTGCTCATACTAGGAAATAAGCCTCAGGTATGCTGAGGGATTTGGCTTTTCCAAGTGTCCTGTCAGCTGTCCCAAGTGGCCTGGCCTCCCCGCTTCTCTGGAATCCCAGAGGTGCTCTTTGTTCTATGGGAGCCTCCTAACCCCTGACCTGGGAGCACAGGTGGATAATTGAGCTTTGATTCCAACTTACAAAATGCCCTGGACTCCATGTTTCCTGTAGCTGCATGAGGACCATGAAGGGATGTGGTTGTTATGGGGACCAGGTCTAAGCTGCACATGCATGGCATCCCACAACTGCCAAGGATGAGGCATCTCTGAACAACACTATTGCTGGGAACCCACCCCTTGTCCCTGACTGGAGAACATGTCCCTAGCAGTTGCTCTGGAGGAGGCAGCTGTTACAAAGGCACCCAACAAAGATCCCAGGAAGAAGGCTAGGCCCAAGCAAGAGTGCTTCTGTGAAAATACACACAGAAGTCCAGGGTGAGAGCTGCATGTTCCTGACAGCAGGCTGTGTTGGAGCACAGCAGTTGGGTTATTCTATCCCTCCCTGGGTGGGGATGCTCTCCTGATAGAAAAGCAAATGCAGGGGCTAGGTGTGGTAGCTCACATCTGTGATTCCAGCACTTTGTGAGGCCAAGGAGAGAGGATCACTTGAGTCTAGGACTTTGAGACCAGCCTGGGCAACCTAGCAAGACCTCATTTCTGGAGAAAAAAATTAGCGGGGTGTGGAGTGTGTGCCGAGAGTCCTAGTTATTCAGAGGCTGAGGCAGGAGGATCACTGGAGCCCAGGAGGATGAGGCTGTGGTGAGCTGTGATCATGCCACTGTACTCCAGCCTGGGTGGCAGAGTGAGATTCTGACTCAAAAAAAAAAAAAAAAAAGCAAATGCAGACTGCTAGTCATATAAAGCTCCCAAAAGAAAAGATAACAGATGCGCTGTGGCCGGTCTTGTCCAAGGGGGCTCCTGCTTCCCTCTGACGATGCCTGAAGGTCCGCAACAAGACCCTCATCAAGGGGTGTCCTGGTGGATGTCACTGTCTTGACTGATGAGGAATTCATGTGAGAGATAGTTTTGTCTTTCAGGAGTCTGGAGTATTGTCAGACAGGACAGAATAATTTTTTTTGAGAAAGCAGGATTTATTAAGAGGACAGAAAGTTTCCCACAGTGGGAAGGGACCCAGGGGGTTGCCCCAGAATAATTGTTAAAAGCTGGGAATTTAGAGTGAGACAGACATGGGCTAGACTCCTAGTTCTACACCCCACCAGTCATATAATCTGGGGATTTTACCTCATTTATTTGTACCATAGAATACCTGTGTGAGAAATATGGGTACTAATAGAAATATGGGTGCACAGAGCTGCATGAGACTGGAACAAGAAAAGGAAGACTCTGACCCAGCCTGATGTGCTGCCCTGAGTGTTCAGCACCCCAACTTTATTAAAAATCATAAGCATGGTGGCTAAACTCCCCCTGAGAAAAGGCTTTGAGAGAGAATGAGGGCTTGGTTTTGTTTTGTTGGAGTCTTTTTAGGAAAGAGGGTCTCACACCTTATTTCACTGACCAAAGTTCCATGAGCTTTGGAGCCATTCAGTTCAGAACCTACTCTGGGACCAGCAAGTTTTCTGCCTGAAACATTCATGAGGGAATCTGACAGCTAAGCCTGGACCTTGACAGTCACTGAGGGGAGTGATGCAGGCTGGGGATCATTCCCCTAGATGAAAGAGTCAGAAGGCCAGCCCCAACCCCGTGCTGGAGGTACCTGAGCAGCCAGGCTTTGCAGTGGGGCTGAGAGTGCTCAGTTTTGGATAAGGTGGTCCTCCTGAGGACAAGCATAGCTTTCATGTGGAACAATTAAGCATTCAAGGTGGATAAAGATAATTCTTGACAAGGCATAGATGACTGAATTAGGGGCAGATGCAAAGACAGTTCCTGCCCCCAGGCTGGTGTCACCACCCTGCTGTCCTAGCGCCTCTTTCCAGTGCTACTTCACGCTTAGGGGACGCAACTAATTTTAATGCCAAAAGCATTAAGTGAGCAAAAGTGAGATTTATCTCCTCTGTGCAACATAGTTATGTTTTTATATTATCTACTTCAGTAAACAAACACTTGACAGAGGCCCGCTGCCCACCAGGGCCTCCTTGAGGATGCAGAGGCATCACAGGCAAGGTTGGTTGCATGCCGGGCACTATCCTGGATGCTCTCAGCACCACCTTGGGTGGGCACTCTCACAACACACATTCTACCAAGGAGGAAACGATGGAACAGAGAGGTTGCCCAAGGCAAAGCGTTTGCTGAAGCAGAATCTGAATGTGATCGGGTCCAGTTGGCACACAGTCCCACTCTGCCTCTCAGATCTGGTGAGAGAGGATGTGTCTCCTTAAAGAACACACAGTCTAGTGGCAGGGAAGAACGTCTGAGCTAATCATCCTCCCTATAGATTTTCTGAGGTCTTCCTTAAAGTAAGACAGATGAGAGCTGGGTGCAGTGGCTCACGCCTGTAATCATAGCACTTTTGGGAGGCAGAGACGAGAGGATTGCCCGAGCCCTGGGGTTCGACAAGCCTGAGCAACTTGATGAGACCTTGTCTCTACAATAAATAAAAAAATTAGTCGGGCATGGTGGCCACACCTATAGTCCCAGCTACTTGGAAGGCTGAGGCAGAAAGACTGTCTGAGCCCAGCAGGTCAAGGTTGCAGTAGGTATGATCATGCCGCTACGCTCCAGCCTGGTTGACAGAGTGAGGCTCTGGCTAAAAATAATAATAATAATTAAAAAATTAACACAGCCAAGGGCTTATCAGCTTCACTCACCATGATCCCCATTTTCTTCCAAAGAAGTTGTGTTTTCCTTAGATGCATGTATTTTTAATTAAACTTCCTTTTGATAGGTTTTTTGGTAGATTCATAAGCAATTATAAAAGATATGAACAGACACTTCTCAAAAGAAGACATCCAAGCGGCCAACAGACACATGAAGAAATGCTCAACCTCACTAATCATCAAGGAGATGCAAATTAAAACTACACTGAGATACCACCTAACTCCAGTCAGAATGGCCATCATCAATAAAAAATAGCAGATGCTGGAGAGAATGTGGTGAAAAGGGAACACTTCTACGCTGTTGGTGGGAGTGTAAACTAGTGAAACCTCTGTGGAAAGCAGTGTGGCGATTCCTGAAAGTTCTAAATATTGACCTCCCATATGACCCCGCAATCCCCCTACTGGGAATATACCCTGAAGAACTCAAATCACTCTATAAAAAAGATACCCGCGTACATTATGTTAAATCACTCTATAAAAAAGATACCCGCGTACATTATGTTTATCGCAGTATTGTTCACAATAGCAAGAACCTGGAACCAACCATGCTGTCCATCAAAAAAGGACTGGATTAAAAAAATGTGGTGCATACACACGATGGAATACTACGCAGCCATAAAAAAGAACAAAATCATGAATTTCGCAGCAACCTGGATGGAACTAGAGTCTATAACACTGAGTGATCTCTCACAGCTGAGTATCACGTGTTCTCACTCATATAGTGGATCTTGAATATCTATCATAATACGATAAAAAAAGGATTGACAGTGGCATGAAACTATGGAGGGTAGGAGGGGAAGGGAGGTGGGATTAACTGTAGTCAATATCTATCTGGGGACAAGGAGACACCCCTTATCAACAAGGGTGCCCGAATGATACATATTTGTATACCTAACCCTTAACTATACCCCACAATTTTAAAACAAAAAAGATGTTTAAAAATAAAAAAAAGAGCTGGGATCGGTGGCTCACCCTATAATCCCGTGCTTTGGGAGGCTGAGGTGAGTGGATTGCCTGAGCCCGCGGGTTGGAGACCAGCCTGGGCAACTTGGCGAGACCTCATCTCTACAATAAATCAAAAATGAGCCGGGCATGGTAGCGCGCGCCTGTAGTTCCAGCTACTTGGAAGGCTGAGGCAGAAGGATTGCCGGAGCCCAGCGGGTCAAGGCTGCAGTGGCCGGGAGCAGCCACTGCACTCCATTCTGGGTGACAGAGTGAGA